CTACTTCGAGTACAAACCTGTCTTCACCATCGGCGTACCACGCATTTTTGATACAATCAAGAAAACGGTGGAGGCAAGGTTGGCGCCACGCGGTTCTCTGGAGCGTCGAATATTTGAACATGCCTTTCAGAGTCGTCTACGGGCGCTGAAGGATGGAATGGAGACGCCCTACTGGAACGAGGTGGTGTTTGGGCCTTTTCGCTATCTGCTTGGTGGGAAGATGCGCACGATGCTTTCAGCTGGCGGTCCCATTAGTGCTCCCACACAAACTTTTCTCAATGTCGTTTTTGGGTTAATGGTTCAGGGTTGGGGTCTCACAGAGACCGTTTGTGTAGGGACAAAACAGCTCTGCGGCGACATTGAAACCGTCGTGGCAGGACAACAGGAGCGCATATGCGAGATGTGTCTTTTGGATGTGGATGAGTACAAGCACACGGACACCCCCGAGCCGCGGGGGGAGATTCTTCTGCGGGGCCCGTTCCTCTTCAAGGGCTACTACATGCAGGAAAAACTCACGCGAGAGGCTCTTGACGAGGATGGCTGGTTTCACACGGGTGATGTTGGCAGCATCACAACACATGGACGCTTGCGTATTATTGGCCGTGTGAAGGCACTGGCGAAGAATGTGCTGGGAGAGTACATTGCGATGGAGGCACTGGAATCCATGTATGCACACAACGCACTCTGCATGCCTAATGGTGTGTGTGTGCTTGTCCATCCTGCTCGTTCGTACATTTGCGCGCTGGTGCTGACAGATGAGACAAAGGCTATGATGTTTGCGAAGGAGCACGGCATTGAGGGCAGCTATCCGGATATCTTGCGTGACCCGGCGTTCCAGCGCAAGGCCACGGAGTCCATGCAGGCAACGGCACGAAAGGCAGATCGGCAGAAATTTGAGTGTGTACGGCATGTGCGTGTCGTTGGTGATGAGTGGACGCCTGAGAATGAGATACTCACGGCGGCTGGCAAACTGAAGCGCCGCGAAATTGACAAGCGGTACGCCGACGTCATTCAGCTAATGTTTGTGGAGGAGTGTTAGGGAGGGGAAGAAAAAAACAAAAAAAACAAAAAACAACAACAAAAACAAAACAAAAAAAAACAAACAAAAATAATAAAAAAACAAAACAAAACAGAAATAATGAAAAAAAACTGTGTGATGATAATAAATGTTCTATATGTATGACCGTTGTGTGGCGCCCAGTTGTGATTTTTGTTTGGCGGTATGTACAATGTACCGCCATAATGTGCCTGAGAGTGGAGCTGGATAGGCGCTTATCGAGTACGGTTGTTGTTTTTGTTGCATGTGGTGGGCCAGTCGTTCCACTTCGTGCCTGTTCCGCTGCACTTTTTAACGCCTTCCTTTCGTATGTTGCCACTTGCGTCTTTCTATTACTAATTTTGATTTGTTTCTGGGCTTTACGTATGTTGATTTGCCTCTCTTCCCTTGATGCTTGTGCGTCGTCGCCCTGACGACGGAATTTCCCTCCCGTGGCCGGTGTGAAGGCTGCTGGGTTGAGGGCTCCAGGCGTAGGGCATTTCCCGCACAGCAGAAGTCATTTTTTTTTTCCGCTCTTTTTTTCTTTTTTCTTTTTTCTTTTGTATTTTGAGTTTTATTTCGATTTCTTTTTTTTTATTCATTTTTCGTGCACGTCGCGAATTTTCATGAGGACGGAAGCGAGGGAAATGGAAGCACGGCGGGTGTATTTTTATTTATTTGCTTCTTCTTCCATTGCCATCATTGTGTTTGCATGTGTCTTTCCCTCTTTTTTTCTTTTTTTTTTTCAACGGATGCTGTTTTTCCTCCCGTGGCGGTGGACGAGAGGACGGAGATAGATAACGGTGCTGTGAAATTGGTGCCGGAGAGTATGTTTTGGGCACTCGCCCCAATTCCCTCTCCCCACTCATATTTGTGTCTGCGCGATGGCTCTTTGGCGCTTGCGAGAGGGGTGAGATGAATACAACTCGTATTTTGTAGGAGCGTCACAAGCACCTCTTAAAATGCTGTATTTTTTTTTCCCCTTTTGGTGATGGCGGTGAATGGTTGGCATCGTCTTTTTTTTTTTTTTTTTAGTTATCTTTTTCTTCCACCCTCCCCCTTATCGTACTTTTGGCTTCACTCCGTGACGGATGCATGTGCGCCTGTTGGACTTGGGCGCTGAAAGGCCGTTATATTTTTTTTTTTTTTTTTTTTTTTTTGGTTGTTGTTAGTCACTTCTCTTAAGGGGGTTGGGAGGGGAAGGGAATAAATAACAACGGTTGCAGCAAGTCTGTACTTGGGTGCGGCGGCTAGATACACATCTTGACGTTGGCGCACACACACAAACGTATTTTTACTTGGAGAAGGAAGGTCAAGGGGTTAGGGAGATTTTACAGGGACTCAGAAGAAGTTTTTTTGTGAAGGTGATTGCGTCCACAAGAAAACAACATCACCGCACACAACATATCTCCCAGAAGGGATAACACCACTACTACTACCACCAGTAGTAGTCGTAGTAAAAGAAGCAGCAGCGACAAGAGGCTCCAAAGAAGGGAGGTGGGTGGATAAATTAAGCCGGAAAAGGAAGAAATAAAGGCCCAATATTATAGGCAAGCAAGAGTTAAGAGAAATGGGTGGCTGCGTTGTCTCGTTGCTGGACGCGAGGAATCGGTACTCCATCGTCACCCACAATGACGTGATGGAGTACCGACGTCTTGGCGTGCTGAACGTCCCTGTCCCGGACACGGAGAAACCCGACGCGTCAGCTATCTATCGCATTGCTGGCTACGACGATGCGCAGCAGAAACAACTCTCAAAAGAGTTGTACAACGGGCCAAACCTCACGCAGCGTTTTGAGACAATTTGCCTTCGCGACCCAAAGCGAAATGCGCTTGCATACCGCCCAATTGATCGCGTGGAGCAGGAAAAGATGAAAGACATTGTTACTGGCAGCGAAAAGGTAATGGATGTCACTTATCTCAATGAAACTAAGTACATGACTTTTGAGGCTCTATGGGAGTGCATGCTTTCCTTTGGGCGTGGCCTCGCGGAGCTCGGTATTCGGCCGAACGCCAATGTCGCCATTTACGAAGAGACACGTTGGGAGTGGCTAGCGACTATCTACGGCATTTGGTCACAGAGCATGGTGACTTGCACCGTGTATGCAACATTGGGTGAGGCCGCGTTGGCGTATGCACTTAGGGAGACGGAGTGCAGTGCGATTGTGTGTAACGCGAAGAACGTTGCACGCCTTGTTGAATTAATTACTCACGGCAATATCCCTCGGGCTTCAATTATTTACAACGACACCCTGCCAGCATCTTTCGATGCAAAAGGCTGCCGCGTGATTCCATGGTCTGAGGTTGTGGAGATGGGCCGCCGAGTCGCCGAGCAAGTTCCCTTGCGAATACCGACTGACAACGACTTGACAGCGCTGATTATGTACACAAGTGGTACTACGGGAGATCCAAAGGGCGTGATGCACACACACGGCTCTCTTGTCGCTGGGGTGAGCGGGTTGAATTACCGTGTGTTGGATAATATTGGCCCTTACGAAGAAGGTGAAACGTATTGCGTTTATCTTCCACTTGCTCACATCATGGAGTTTAGTGTCATGAATATCTTTGTCGCACGCGGGGCGTTGATCTGCTTTGGTACCCCGCGAACGTTGACGAGGGCTACTGCCCGTCCCACCGGCGACCTTGAGGAATTTAATCCGGTTTTTATCATTGGCGTGCCACGTGTCTACGAATCAATTAAAAAGGCAGT